CGGCACGGAGCAGGGAGGGGGAAATCCAGCCCCTCCCCTGTCACAGCAGAGAGCTGTGACAGGATCGAGAGGTGAGCGAACGCCGGTATGTGTTCGCTCACCTCTCGATCTACTGAGCCGACCTGTGACAGTCTCATTGTCACAGGTCGGCTAGAACTATGAGGTGAGTGAAAAGCACTCCCCTCATAGTTCTCCTTTAAGCATCTTCTTTAAAACCTTAGAAACTGGAGTGCATAGGCACTTTTTTTGCAAAGGTGAACTAACTTTTTTTGCAAAGGTGAACTAAGGTACAATTTAAACTAAACTTGTCTAATGAAAAGAAAATGAACATTACTTCCCAGACTGCGGAACATCACGGGATGCATCATGACATAGCATGGCTCCATGCTGGGGGATTCCAGTTACCATCAGTCTTGTACACTCAGAAAGAAGGACTGTAGACAGGCTGTTATGGGTTCCAGAGACAGGCAAAGAGTTTTGAACATCACTCTGCAGAAAGTCAACTTACATAAAAAACGCCACTGTCGAAAATACACCGCAGGTGTGAAAAGCATGGTTCAGGGCTTCCTGTGACGGGTACACCACTGCTGCGTCTATCATAATCCACCAGCCTGAAAAAAACTAAAAAGAAACATATGCATGTAACACCCAAGATATTTACCACTAAGACTTTTTGCTATTAGAGTTTTTTGCATATGTGGCACCAAGTGCCGTCATTTAAAATGGTTGTATGGTTGTAAACCCCACAAAAAACGTAAACAGTCCCAATTAAAAACCTAAACTTATACCAAACAAACAAAAGGAAAATGCTAGGTAACTACATTTTCCTTTTGTTTGTTTGGTATAAGATTTGTGTTGTGGAAAATGTCAGTTGATCCTGCCAATGACTTTCCTTTCCTGGTTTGCAGTGGCAATGATATGCAGGCTCACCTAGCCTCTGCAGCGTTGCCACCACAGTGTGGATCTTACCACATTGGCTAACTGAATTCTGATGCTCTAGTCTAAGTGGTCCCTGTCACCTGTCAGAGCGGATCATTGCACCTGATTGACTGCGGCTCCACCTCTGGCAATAAACTCTACAATTTATGGGAGGAAGGAACAGTAAAAGTGCAACAAATCGCATTATGAAAATGTTTCCGTTTTTGAAGCAATGTTTTGTCTAAGTCCCTTGACCACTTCCCCTTCACACCAGTTTCCACGGCCAAGGGAAGAGGCCTGTGATGCGCTGTGGCATGGGCCCCCACTCCTACCAGAGCCGTGCAGACCAAAGGAGAAGCAAAGTGGTCATGTGACCTGAATAACACATAAAATAAAATGATTTCTCTTTTTACATTTTTCTTGGTATTTTGTTTGTTTTGGCACCTTGCCCTACCTGGAAAATTACAAATAGTTATTTGGTTTACAACCACTTTACAGCGAATTTGTGATTTTCCAAAATAGGGCAGGGAAACTGGGTAACTTTAATGCCCCCTCACTGGCATCACAAAATCACTTTACTTCTGTGTAAGCGTGAGTCACTTTAGATTGACCAAGCACCAGCGTTGTTCTAGTACAGGTAAATATGTCTGTGAAGGTTCTCATTCATCCACGTCATGGTATATCTGTAAAAAATAAGTCAAGGCAACTGGACTTGCTGTATTTTTCTTGATGACGTTTCACTGGTCATCCAACCAGCTTTCTCACTTAATTTCTGAATTGAGAAAGCTGGATGGATGACCAGTGAAACGTCTTCAAGAAACATACAGCAAGTCCAGTTGCCTCGTGGCAACTGGACATCACGTGTTCGTGGGACATCAGAGAAGAGGAGGACAGAGGAGTCAGCGATGGATCGGAGACCTGCACCAGTGCTGGAGGGACAGCTGAAAAGGCCAGGAAGGAGGAAGATCAAATCAAGAGGCATCATTTAAGGCAAGTCCTTATATTAGCACTGTGGGGGGGGGAGTTTAGCCTTTAATGAAATACACCAAGCTCTTGTAAGACAAATACATGACTGTGAGGCTGATTCTGACTGTTCTTCACCTGACAAAAATTAAAAGCAAACATGTGCTTTGCCTATGCTGAACCTTCAAGTGTATCTAAACTCAAAAACGAATAACGTAATGTATTGCAGCTTACCAATCCTTAGATGTGGTGGCCGCATTCGTTTTTATTTATTCAGTCTTTTTCCTTTCTTTTCATCTGGTGATCCTGCCAGTAACACACTTCAGTACTAGCATGACAATACTCATTTACCGTACTATATCAGAACATCAGAAACAGGAGTAAGAAACCCCTTCTCTCTTATTCTACGTTACATAGAGGGGTGTGGTTCCGTAGTCCTCAGACTTACCCAAGAAATATGTAATTGATAGGAGTCGGAACAGGCAGACAGCACAGGAAGTTTTCACGATTCCTAGAAGGATCAACGGGCATTGTTTTGTGGCATAACTGCTTCCAATGGGATATTAAAGAGGAAGCATAGTGTTGGCCATAAGTCCTCATTGACTTGAATGTGGTCATATACCAAGGATCTCCAGTCTGGACATAGCTTCATTCGAGTCAACGGGAACCTAGTACTCCCCCGGGATGGCCAAGTAGATTTTCTTCAGGTGGGCTGTAAACACCAGAGGAGATTGCGGCTCTAGAAATAAGGTTAGTATCGTGTGTGTGTGTGTAGTGTAGGTGTGTGTGTAGTGTAGGTGTGTGTGTAGTGTAGGTGTGTGTGGTGTATAGTGTAGTGTAGTGTAGGTGTGTGTGTGTGGTGTGTAGTGTAGGTGTGTGTGGTGTATAGTGTAGGTGTGTGTGGTGTATATAGTGTAGGTGTGTGTGTGTGGTGTGTAGTGTAGGTGTGTGTGGTGTATAGTGTAGGTGTGTGTGGTGTATAGTGTAGTGTAGGTGTGTAGTGTAGTGTGTGTGTAGTGTAGGTGTGTAGTGTAGTGTGTGTGTAGTGTAGGTGTGTGTGTAGTGTAGGTGTGTAGTGTAGGTGTGTGTAGTGTAGTTGTGTGTGTGGTGTGTAGTGTTGGTTTGGTGTGTAGTGTAGGTGTGTGTGTGTGTGGTGTGTAGTGTAGGTGTGTGTGGTGTGTAGTGTAGGTGTGTGTGGTGTGTAGTGTAGTGTAGGTGTGTGTGTGTAGTGTGTGTGGTGTGTAGTGTAGGTGTGTGTGGTGTGTAGGTTAGGTGTGTGTAGTGTAGTGTAGGTGTGTGTGTGTAGTGTGTGTGGTGTGTAGTGTAGGTGTGTGTGGTGTGTAGTGTAGGTGTGTGTAGTGTGTAGTTGTGTGGTGTGTAGTGTAGTGTAGGTGTGTGTGTTCCCTTGTTGCCTTTACCGCCCTTTGACTAAAAATCACTTCAGCATACAGCTCTGCGTGCTGACATGAAATCATCTTACATTCATTAGCTAATCAAACACATTTTTATTTTACTTACAATTTATTTTTTCCACTTCCTGATCCACTTTGGCACAGATGATGTATTGTGCCCAAGCATTGCATCCTGGGAAGGTGACATCAGCAGAGCATTGCTGGGAAATCTCATCTGTAATCTCATGAAATCTCAGGGAAAGGCATTTTCCTCCCCTGAGATGATGTGCATGGTCACATGTCCTAGTCACATGTGCCAGAGTCCCAGGAAGTAAAGGGAGATATATTAATCTGCTCTTAGTTAAAATGACCACTGTAAGTAGAATGAGGCAGAAAAGAGAAATAAGGTATGCAAAGAATACAAAGCCTGCAACTATATAGAAGTATCTGTTTGTAGATTGTCATTACTAAACATTTCTAAGGCTGCCTTTGTTGTTATTTTGAAGATATGGGTAAAGTTCCTCTTACAAGCAAAAATAACTTCCTTGTATTGCTCTACAGAGCAAAGACATTCACAGGTAACAGGAAACTTCATGTGGCAAATTACAGATTCAGTGCATGTTTTGTAGAAAAACTGGCTGAACTTGACTGTGTTATCCACAGCAACCAATCAGGAGCTTATGTTCACGATCTCCACTCTACAGAAACATGGCCCATTGGTTGGTATGACACATGTTATATTCCTCCAGTTTTAGCATGGAAGTCCTTCTTTACTGTCTTTATATTATAGACATACATGACCCACCCAAAACTGAAATATCAGCAGAGCGCACACATTAGAAATGTATATGAAGCAATAACTGTAAAATGGAATTCAACTTTTATATCTGTGGTTTAGATGGGAGATTTTTCACAGCTACAGTTAGATTATTTTTCACTCATGGAGAGAATATCCATTTCCAGTAAAAAGGTGAAAATGGTTAGGGTTCCCCTCATCTGCTGAGTAGCAGGGATGCCCTGTGCTTAAACCGCACACCTACCTTCTGTCTGTACTACATCACTGAGCCCTAAGGCTACCAGTACAACACAGCCCACCACTGGATGTGTTATGGAAGGGTTACATGCTCTCGGAAAGCCATTAATAAACCATAGATGCTAAAGAGTTCCAAGCGGCTCTGAATGATAGTAGACTTGGGGCTCCTTAGGAAGAACTTTCTAACTGAAAGTCAAAATCCTCTTTAAAGGGAACCTGTCCTTCGCTCATGCAGACCATGCAACAGATTCAGTCAACCTCCGACCTCCACAGCTGATTATACTCACCTTCCTCTCACTCTCCCATGGCTTTGTTTGATCTTCTATAGCCGTGTTTCTAAACTGGTGGGTTTGCGACCCAAAAGTGGGTCACAACCCTGTGTTCAGTAGGTCGCCATGTGCCTTCCACAGCGCTAGGTGATGGGCTCCTCAGCCTCCCCCTAGCACAGCACTGTCATTTCTTGTGCCGAGCAGCCATTCAAAATATGCTGCCTGGTGCCGAGCGTCAGCTTGAAGTGGTGTGGGCTGGGGGTATGGCCGCGAGGGAGCTCCATCCATACGTCACTTGCTTACTGCTCCCTTGTATGCCCTGTAGATGTGCCTGGGCCCGAGTGACGTCACATTCTGGCTCCTGGCCTCATTACAGGTTGTGCAAGTGAGCTGTGCAAGCAATGCACATATGGATGGAGCTCCGTCACAGCACAGCAGCCCAGCACTGGACCCCAGGCTGAGGATCCACTCCAGTTCTTGTAAGACCGGCAGACTGAGTGGATCTTACAAAAAGAAAAAAACATTTTTTTGGGAGTGTGTATGAAAATGTCTGTGAATGTGTGAGGTTCTGTCTGTGGTTGTGTGTGCTGTCAGTGTTTGTGAGGGCCCGTTCATACTAGTACAGTGCGTTAATCGCACAGTCCCATGCAATCGCACCCCAAACTCACCTCTCGCCCACAGTTCGATTGCCCACACCAGAACACGTGGTACCACAATGCTGTGCGTTCCAGTGCGGTGTGACTTGGATCACGTGCTCTTCATGGCCAGAAGTGCTGGGTATTTCCTGATCCTAACTTATCCTGATTTTGACTTTTTACCTGGTGAGTCAATGACTTACACAAGCAGGAAGCCAGTGAAGTCTGAAAAGTCTTAATTCCAGGCCCGCATACTAGTCCTAAATCTGTAAGGCCTCGTTCACACGAGTGGCAAACTTTACCGCCCATTAAAAATCAATCTGTGATAGATTGCCTTTCAGAGGAGAGTCGACAGCCGCTTTACAGAGGAGGACCTACTGCCGCCTCCTGAATGCCTGCTTTTACTGTCTTCTTTTGATCCCAAGGGGAATTTTGCATTATAATAATGCGCCACAACCATGTGACAAGCAGTTGGCAGCAGTTATGCGCACGGTCCCACTAACAGCAATGGTCGCATTTGGCTAGCGGCACCACCTGCCAAATGCGACATGCTGTAAATCTGGCACGGCCACGGCATGTGTACAAGTTTGAGTGAATACTATTTTATAGGTTTTAGATGTCTGGTTGTGGTCGATGATCCCTGTTCTTACTCCCCCGACTGTCCACGTCAAAGCTAAAGCTTGAGCCACTCAAGTTTGTACACACGTCGTGTGTGCCCGTGTGAACAGGGCCTAACTATGGGTATTGATTCCAGGATCAGGATGACATCCCTAATGCCCTTTCCCAAGTACATTGAGCACCCCCTTATGTACAGTATTTGCTCTCAGCAGGGCTGAGGACGTGTAAAGAATTGAAATCACTTACCAAAATGCCGGCTACTACAGAGGCGATGGTGTTCCTCTTCTCCCCCCAGTCGATGCATTCACACTGCGGCCATCGGAAATTGTCCAGGAAGCCAGCCATTTTCACCAGACGCTTATCTATCTGGCACTTTCATTAACTGCGTATGTAAAACAAATGTTAAGCAAGAGCCATACAGCAGAGCAAAGCAGAAGGAAAAGTCAAACAAGCACTAGAATTGTTATCTGAACATACATAAAAAGGTCTGCTATTACTCTACATATGCAGTGCCCATTGTCGTGTCCGGAGACAGAAGTTAAAACTGCCTGAGCACAAAAACCTTCAATAGGCACATAGGATATAGATCTACTTTGTGTGCACCAAATGCCTTTGCAAGCCCAGTTATTAACTTCTAAAAGTTGCCGTGCCATCATACGTGGGCTGTACATAGCCTGTGCAAAATCAGAGCTGGGGCAAGCCCCACCCACTACAGGCAGCATGCAGAAAACTACAGGGGGGGGCGGAGACAAGACCAGTCACCATTAGTGATGAGCTCGGGCGTGTTCGCAAGCGCCTCGTGCCGAGCCCGCCAGCAAGCCGTCAGCGCGCAGGGCCAATCACAGGCACTGAGACATGTTCCCGGTCCGCAGCTGCAGAGATCGGAAAATGGCTCAGTGCCTGTGATTGGCCCTGCGCGCTGACGGCTTCCTGGCGGGCTCGGCACGAGGCGCTTGCGAACCCGCCCGAGCTCATCACTAGTCACCATGCACAAGGAGGGAGAGAGAGAGCAGCAGTGACCAGTCTTTATTGCAGGCAGCTCCAAGTTTCACACTGGATAACTGCACAAAGCACACTCAGATTCAAGGAAAAATCAGTATAGTAACCAGGCACCTAGCATCTATAAAAGGAGAGTTGAACACTGGCAGCCTCCATAAAGGTGTACGTTAAAGGCAATGGGTTTGTATTTCTGTCCGAGCGGCCCTGAGACTCACACAGCCCTGTCAGCCGGTGTTCTATCAACGTTTGTGACTAGGTTGGAATGTGTGACCGGTCACACATTTTAACAAATTCACGCCCAGTTTGTCGGCGGTGGAATGTGTGACCACCAATAGGTGAAGCATTCCAAGGCTTTGTCAGCTGTTCCAGGGCAGATCGGTTCTGCACATACGCTCTGCGATGCCGTGTGCCCTGGAACAGCTGACAAAGCCTTGGAATGCTTCACCTATTGGCGGTCACACACTCCACCGCCGAAAAAAACTGGGCGGGTCACACATTCTAACGTAGTCACAAACGTTTGGAACACCTGCACAGCCGTGCTGCTGACCTGACTTCTTTCTGCTGCAGTCAAGCAATAAAGCCAGATCACCTCTGTGCCCGCCTGTCTGTGACTAGACAGCAAAGGAGCAGCAGCGGTGTTCACACTGTTTCCTCCTCCTGTCAGCACGGTCCCTGTCGCCACAAGTGCGTGTAGCAGGGGATTGCAAGCGTCACTTCGGGTACTTACACTTCCCTGCTTCTAAAAACAACTTTCATTGTTGTTTTCTTTGTACACATGCATGCGCAGTACTCCTACCCCCTCCCCAAAAAGAAGATTCTGGGGTCTCTTTCCGTACTGATCCGAAGCGCAGCAATGTGGGCGCCCCGTCGTTCTTTGTGTTCCCCTGTGCTCCGTCTTCCTCCTGCTGCTAATCCTGGATGACTCGTCATTGTACTACGCCCGTGGTTGCACCCGCCACTAATCCCAGCACTCTGTGTCATTCTATGGGGAGGATATCCAAGCTGGGAATATAAAATAATAGATGGATGAAATCATCCAATGAAATTACTTTTTTTGTATCAATGCAGCTAAAACCATCGAATGAACTAAGAACGGTACATGACGGGTCCTCCATTCCATCGATTTAGTAAACTTTCGATCGCTTTCAATGCTGGCAAGTTGATCGGCCACTTTGGAATGTTATCAATTGTTCTATTGGAATATCTGCCTGTGTGTCAGACAACCAATCACAACGCAGATCGATGAAATGACTCTTTTCAGCAGATTGTTTCTGATGGATCGTATTTTCAATATGTGTTCCGTGGCTGGATGGTTTCATCGATGATGAATGGGTATGTCTATGCAGTGGCGTCACAAGGGGGGTGCGCCCCGCACCTGGGTGCCACCACTGGTGGGGTGACACCAAAATGACTGATAGTCACTTTGGTGACACCCCCTATGAAAAGTCAGGCACTCGGTCATGGACCGAGAGCCCGTCAGTGTCAGGAGAGAGGAGGGGACCCGGCGGCATACCTCATCCTGCCAGGTGAACATCCCCTCCTCTCTCTGCCGGCGTCCATCACAAAGATCAAAAAGACAACCATGCATGCACGTTGACGTCACGGCGGGGTGTCACCCGGTCTCCGCTCCGGGTGTCACCCAGCCTCGGGGCGCCCGTGTCTATGACCACCTTAAAGCAACTGATCCCAGCTGGATCCATTCGAGCTGAACTCCAGGCAAATGCAGCGTGGAAACGCATACATGGGAACTCGTCTTCCTCTCAGAACATTTGCAGTTCTGTCCGGCGTTTCAGGTGATTCACACGCTGTATAGCCGGAGGGTGACATAGCTATTGAAAGCCTGCAGTTCTATAGCTGGCCATACACCCAGTGGCATCACTAGAGGGGGTGCTGCCCGCAGCCGGGTGACACCATTGGAGGGGTGACGCCAAAAGGACTGACAGTCATTTTGGTGTCACCCCCTCTGAAAAGTCGGGCACTCGGTCACGGAACGAGAGCCCGACAGTTGCAGGAGAGAAGAGGGGACCCGTGGCATTCATTATCCCGCTCGGTGAACGTCCCCTCCTCTCGCTGCCGGCGTCAATCACCAAGATGGCTGCCGGCAGGTATCAGCAAGATGGCTGTGCATGCACAATGATGTCACCTGGTACCCGCTCTGGGTGACTCCTGGCCTTGGGACGCCCTTGCATACTCCTATAGATTTTCTGCAGATTTTCTATGGTCAGATGGAAAAAGTGCAACAGATTCCTCCATCTGCGCTAAACTGTGTGGATGGAGGAATCTCCCCCTGGGCCAAGCTTTAGTATCTTGCTAGTCGGCCCCGCTGGCTCTCACAATACCTGAACAATCTGATTGGAAGCCGGCATTGTTCAGGTATAGATACTGAAGCTTGGCCCAGCGGGAGATTCCTCCATCCACACAGTTTAGCGTAGATGGAGGAATCTGTTGCACTTTTTCCATCTGACCACAGAAAATCTGCAGCTAATCTATAGGTGTATGGCCAGCTTTAGGCTGAGCAATACAGTGAAGTCCAGGACCTGTCAAAGCCTGTGATTGGATGATGATGGAGAAGCAGCAAGCTAGTGAGATCCTCACTCTGCTCTCCAATCCTCCCAGGAAGCTCCCCATGTTAGATGGACAGCAGTATGAAATGCAGTAGAGTTCGATAGGATCACATGTTGCTGTGCAGGAAACTTCAGACTTCTGATATAAAAGTAAACACAGAGGTGCTGCACTCTCCAGCTGAAAATGACAGGTGCCTGGCTGTCACGCCGACCCTCCTGAGCCACTTACTTTAGAACAAGTATGCAGACGTGGGTTCCCGAACATTTCTTTGACTTTCCGGATCCGCCTACCCGTTCCAGGTTAGTGACTCGGAAAGTCAGAAGCCGGAGGATCAGGAAGCGAGAGGAAATCCCCTCTTAGACAGTTGTCACGGGAACAGGCGTCCTTGTTGTCAGATTGCCCCTCTGTTCCTGTTCTGGTAACATTTTGGGTTGCCCATCACTTCCTGTCTCTGTGACATTGGCCATCGGGATTAAAGACAGAAAAAATTACAAACCTGACAGAACATTTAACCACGTCCTACTCCATCCAATACTGAAAGAAAAGCCTTAGATACAATGTAATCATTGCTGCAGCCATGATCTTGGTGTCATTGGTTTCAGTAGGCGGAGAGCTTTCGAGTAGGAGCCATGTGGAAGGCTGCCAGATCACATGTACCCCCTTCTAAAGTACTGCCCCCCTTTCCCGCCTGGGACCACAGCAAACTGTGTCAGGATAGAGAACGGGATCAGACGGTTCCCCCGATGAATGAAGCAGGAAGTGCTGTCCTCTCAGAGCTGTCAGAGTCCGGCGATCAAGCCATCCTGTGCAGGAGCTTCGGTACTGCCCGGGCAGGAGAGACATCAGGTCTAATAGTCCCCTGATGCCCAAATAAAGAGACCCTGTCACCTCTAAACACTATCACCTAGAGGTGTGTTAGTCCCTGTGTAATAACAATAAAGTTAAGTGACAAAAAAACGTAAAAAGTGATAAAAAAATAATAAAACAAGTGAAGAGGGAGCATGGACCCGGCTTCCTGACCAATCAGCATGTAATGACTCGCTGCCCGGCTTCCTGATACAGGAAGTATTGGGCTAGGCATCGGAGTATTTGGGTGAGTACGAGTACTTGCCCAAATACTCGGCATCGGCACTGATACTATTACTGGTATCGGTGCATCCCTAATTGGAAGTAAAACTATGGCCTCCCATTAAAATAAATGTGCTGCAGCACCTAATAAAAAGTGTATCTGCTGCCCTTACAGTTTCCTTCTAGTCCCCGCAAAGTCCCACAAATGCCTGTTGATCCTGCCAGTGAAGTCCACCTAATGTAGCTTCCTGCGATTCTTCCTGAATTCAGAGCAGAGTTGTCACCCCTCCTTGTAGGCTGCGTCTGTTTGCTTTACAGAGGGAGGAGAAGATGTTGTAGGGGGAGTGGCCATCAGCACTGTAACTAGCATGTTGCTTGTCAATCAGAACTTGGCCACACCTAGCCCCGCCCACTGCTTTCTAGATTGACAGCGCCGTTGTAGGGGGGAGTGGCCATCAGCACTGTAACTAGCATGTTGCTTGTCAATCAGAACTTGGCCACACCTAGCCCCGCCCACTGCTTTCTAGATTGACAGCGCCGCCCTCTGTTGTTGAAACCCTCCCACTGCGAGCTGCGATGTCTGAGAGGGGGAGGGTGGGAGACATAAAAGGATGAGAAGGTGTGTCAGTCAGGGAAAGTAAAAGGAAGTTGAGATTATGAGGCGGGTGTAACACACAGAACCTGGATTTGGGTCTGGTGGTTTAGACCGTCATGCAGGAACCTTCAGTACAGGAAGAGGTAGAACAAAGGTTATTGTTACCGTGTCACCCGGACACCACAGTCACCACGGCACCCATTTCCTCCATTTGTATCACTGAAAGCAGATCCCAAACACTCAAATCTCATAAAAGCCGAACTGACATCGAAAAGTCAAACAAAGTGCTAGGAGATCGAATGTTCTGGCATCCAAAATCTATTCTGCCCCCAAACATGTCCTAATGTGCAAGTAAGCACAGAGCTTACACTCTAATGACCCCCCCCC